ATATCATATGGTACTGAGTCTATTTCATGGTACTCCTGTGTACCTGTGTTGAGTGCTCCCCACTTGGGATTTCCTCTTAGGGAGCTAGTCCTGTAGAAAACTGATTCCCCTTCCCTCAGCAGCCATTGATTACATTCAGCTCTTCGTCTTGAGGTGGGACCCTTTGCACTTTTCCCCATCCACCTCGGCATGTCACTATGCAGATCTTTGTTAGACCACCGTACTGTGGTTTCACTGGGGCAGCTCCCCTATCATGTCTAGAATGCATCAAGTAGCTGCAGGTGTCTGTCTGGCTCTTACAATCTTTCTGCCCCCTCTTTTCCAAGGTGATGGTCCCTGGAAGCCTCCTCCCCAAAGACTAGCTCTCAACAGTATCAGACGATGCTGTGCGAGCTGCTGAGGGAGAAAAACAATCAATGGTCCTCTCAACCACAACTACGACCCACCCAGAAAATTATCTCTATTGGTGCAATAGTGAAGCTTTTATATTGGGGGTGATCAACAGCCTTCTAACTGGATTTAAGGTCCACTCAGTAGGACGGATTTTGCACATGGTGCTGTAAATGTAGCCAAGTACACGTGGTTGGAGAGGTCAGAGGCCCTGGAGAAGAAGCTGCTCTATCGCTGTCCTAGACCAGCATCATTTATTCTTTTTTTTGGGGGGGGGGTGTTAAAATACTTTTGGATTTATTTTTATTTGAATTTTTGCAAATTTCATACGATATATTTTGATCAAATTTAGCTTGCCATCATCAGTTTGCACTCCCTATCACCCCTGCCCAATTTCATGTACTCTGTATCATATATATAATATTATACATATCATATGTATGCATAGAAGTCAGATTTGTGCCCCAAATGCCCTCGGTGTGGGCTCATCCACTGGGGTCTGGTCAACTTACTGAGTCTCACCCTAAAAGGAGACTGACTTTCCCCTTCTCAGATGGTATCAGTTGCTAATAGTTCCTCAGGTATGGAGGGTTCCTTACCCACTTTCCCACATCTGTGTGGGATTTTGTCTTCCTTGAGCTTACAAGGGCCTTGGGTGTGCTGTCACCATTGCTGTGAGTTCATATGAGCAACTGCCCAGCTGTCTGGAGAACTGTCTCCTTGTGGTCATCCACCCCCTCTGGCTCTTATGATCTTTCTGCCTTGTCTCCCAGAATGATCTCTGGGTCTTGGGAGGCAGAAGGTTGATCCAGGTGTCCTGTTCATGGACGAGCCCTCTGCAGCCTCATGTTCTCTGCAGGTTGGCCAGTTGTTTTCTGTGTTAATCACCATCTGCTGCATAAGGAAGCTTCTCTGGTGAGAGTTGAGAGATGGATTCATCACAGCAGGTCTGGGAAAGTTTCCAGATCTGGGTCTTGCTGGACAGTTTTGGTTGTCAACTTGACACCCCTGGGAAGAGGGAGCCCCAATTAAGGAATTGCTTCTATTGAACTGGCCTGTGTTCATGTCTGTTGGCATCTTCTTGATTGTTGAGTGACATGGGAGGACCCAACCCACTGTGGGTGGTGTCACCCCTGGGTAGGTGGGCCTGTGTTGCATAAGAAAGCAGGCTGAGCACAGGCCAGGGGAACAAGCCAGTAAGCAGCGTTCCTCCATGGCCTGTACTCCGGCTCCTGCCCTGAGTCCCACCTTGGCTTCCCTCAATGGACCTTTCCTGTAAGTCAAAGAAACCCATTTCTCCACAAGCTAGTTTTGGTCAGTGTTTTTATCACAGCACAAAAAGCTAAGCAGAACAAAAATTGCCACCAGGATAGTGGGGCATTGCTGTGACAGCCCTGATCATGTATGTCTGGGAGGACTGTGGAAGTTTTAGGGGCTTTGGACTGAAAAATTGCTCAGTGAGCTGCTCTGTAGGAACTTGGAAGATAATGCTGAAAGAGGTGTAGACGATGGAGGCCTGGCTTGTGAAGTTTCAAAATGAAGAAAAGGGGGCTGGAGAGATGGCTCAGCAGTTAAGAACAACTGGCTGCCTTTCAGAAGACCTGGGCTGGGCTCGGGTAGCTAACAGCTGTTTGTAACTCCAGTTCCAGGGGATCTGATGCCCTCTGTAGATATTGCAGGACAAGGGTATACTTCCATACACTCATACACATAAAATAAAAATAATAAACAAAATATTTTTAAAAGTAAAAAGGAAAGAAAAGATTAGCAGGGCTGTATGTGTGATATGCTGAATTGAGAATCTGGGTTCTGGTCAGTGGGGGCTGAAGAATCAGCTGTCATTAAGAAGAGACCAGAACCACTGAAGTGAAACTTTTGCTTTACTGAGACAATTGATGCTGGTTAGCTGGGGCTGAAAAATCAGCTGTAAGTAACAAGATACCAGCACCACCATGGTGAAGTCTTCTGGGAGGTATTTCCTCAGGATCAGCACACAGAAGCTGGGGTCCAGATGGGGCCTGAGCCTCTATCTCAAGCTGGAAACAGGACTTGGTAATGTGTAAGAGTCTCCTGCATGGTTCTGGTGTTAAAGGCATGAAGGGGTCATGGAGAGAATCTGAGGTTTTGCATCCTGAGAGTTCAGGATAACCCACTGGTGAAGGTGCAGCCTCAGTTTCAGTAGAGACCCCATTGTATTGAAGATGGCAGGACCGTGGGATGACCACCAAAGGCAGCAGCAGGTTTGGAGTGGAGCTGGCTTGAGCCTATGGGCTTAGTTTTGCTAAGCATGCCCAGTTCTTCCCTTCTGAAATAAGACAGTATTTAAACTTGTTTTGGATTTTGCAGGAGCCCACAGTTCAAACTTTTTAAGACGTTGAACTTTTAAAGTGAATTTTTAAGGACTGTGGGACTTTTAAAGTTGTACTGTCTTATGTTGTGGTAGTATAATTAATATGAGATCTTGGGGATGAGAAGTGGAAAGGTTGTGGTTTAATAGCAGTATGTTTGTGCGTTAAGTTGACAAAGTGACATTTGTGCTGGAAGCTTTAGTTGTCAACTTGACACACCTGGGTAGAAGGAACCACAGTTGGGAAATTTCCTCCATTGGATTAGCCTCTGGCTATGTCTGTGGGGTATTTTCTTGATTGTTGAGTGATGTGAGAGGGCCCAGCCCACTGTGGGTGGAGCCACCCCCTGGCAGGTAGTCCTGTGTTGTATAAGAAAGCAGGTTAAGCCAGTAGTGGTGGCACACACCTTTAATCGCAGTACTGGAGGCAGAGGCAGGCGGATGTCTAAGTTCAAGACTAGCCTGGTCTACACAGTGAGTTTCAGGCCCAGCTGGAGCTACAGGGGAGAGCCTGTCTCAAAAAGACAAGGAAGGAAGGAGGGAGGGAGGGAGGGAGGGAGAAAGGAAGGAAGGAAGGAAAGAAGGAAGGAAGGAAGGAGGAAGGAAGGAAGAGGGAGGGAGGGAGGGAGGGAGGGAGGGTGGAAGGAAGGAAGGAAGGAAGAAAGGAAGGAAGGAAGCTAGGAAGCTAAACACAGGCCAGGAAGTAGGCCAGTAAGCCACGTTCCTCCAGGGTCTGTGTTTCAAGCTCCTGCCTTGGTTTCCCTGGCTGCTGGACTGTGCTGTAAGCCAAACAACCCTTTCCTCCCCAAGTTGGTTTGGGTTAGTGTTTTATCACAGCAATAGAATGCTAAGACATATTTTGTATGTGTATGCCTGCATGCATGAATGTGTACCGCATGCATGCCTGGTGCACATGGAGGTCAGAAGAAGGCATCGGATCCTCTGGAGCTGGAGTTATAGATGGTTTTGAGCCACCATGTGGGTCCTCTGCAAGACCAGTCAGTGCTCCACTGAACCATCTCTCCAACCCCTTATCATCTATCTTGGGGTCTTTCTTTTTCTTTCTTTCTTTCTTTCTTTCTTTCTTTCTTTCTTTCTTTCTTTCTTTCTTTCTTTCTTTCTTTCTTTCTTTTTAAAGACAGGGTCTCCCTGTATCCCCAGCTGGCCTGGAATTAGCTAGCTATGTAGACCAGGCTGGCCTTGAACTC